TTTAGACTGGAGGATTTATTTTGTCCCAGTTTTCAAGTTGCTAATGTAGACAAGATGAAAAATATCATTAAAAACATTTTATACTCTAAAAATTGTAAATACTGTGCTGACAAACGTTAAACGGAATTAAAAGATCTGAAAATACAAGAAATTCACAATGCGTGAATAATAATTGTAAAACTATGTGTTTTAGCTCCGTGGATCGGCTAGAGAGGTTTATTCCTGAAGAAGAGGTGTTGCTTGTGGCCGTAAATTTGGAAGTTGGGAGACGGGTATAAGGTGTGTTACATTTATCAGCCTTTGGAAGTTGCTGTTGGATAAAAAAACAAAAAAATATATAAGATTCTGCTTTAAAGAGCATCTTTAATGTTCTTTAAAATGGTGAAAAACGTCATCTAATATCAAACAGCTACTTTGGTTTTCCTTCCAGGTTTTCTGATAACTAGCATGTGTTAAAAAAATACTAAATCAAGGGAAGTGGGCAGGCTTCCCTAAAAACTGTGTGGTTTTGGAGTCATTACACATCTCAAGGAAAGCTTAAAAGACATGATTGACTCAAGTTATTTTTAGTTTCTGAGGTAACACTGATTCAACTAGTTTAACTATGGTTAATGTTTGTGTATGTTGGGGTTGTACAAACTCCTGTTTGTCTGGACAATGTGTTCATTGATTTCCACAACAGTATATGAATATGAGAAGCAAAGAGATCATGTAAATGTAGAGGAGACACGGATGGGGCTTTTTATGGGCGCTTAATGATGCGGGCTGCCATCGTGAACGGGTCACCAGTAACCCCCCATTGCATTCAATGGGTTAGTAAAGTCAATAGCAATCTTGCATAATCTGTTTTCAATCGTACACCATTGTTGGAACTGTAGGTCGCACAACAGGCATAGCTGCTCACTCAAACGTTGACTCCGATTAGATTTAGTTGTGATACCTATCCAATAGAGCTCCGGACCCCACGTGACTCTCAGTTAGTGGACGCCATTTTGGCATGCAAAAAAGGTAAACAAACACGGATGTAACCATGAACATGAACGGGATCCGCTTGGATTTTACTTTGTCGGAGTTTACTTCACACTTTAAAACAGAAGAAATCGTTTTATATAGTCAGAAATTAAATAGACTAAACATCTCCGACCCTTACCGTGCCCCTGGGATACTTTTTAAAAACGCCAGAAGATGTCGGAGCGGACTTCTTACCGGCACAACACCGGACCTGGCCGGGGGAACCCCTTGGGATTCCCCCGGCCGGAGGAGCTGGGGAGAAGGTCTGGGACTCTCAACTCTACTGCCCGCTCCGACGCCAGAAGTTGTCGGAGCGGGCTTCTTACCGGCACAACACCGGACCTGACCGGGGAACCCCTTGGGATTTACCCGGAGGAGCTGGCTCCGGCGGCTGGGGAGAGGGAAGTCATGCTACTGCCCCCGCAACCCGACTCCGGATACGCGGATGAAAATGGATGGATGGACGGACAAATAACAGATTTACACGTAAGTAGTCTCGGTGTGTGATCTGACAATTGATCAACCATTGCTTAAAAATTAAATACAGCTTAGCCGGTTAATTGCTGTGATCATAAAACACGGAAACGGCAGCACGCAGAACTCACGAGGCAACGTTTTACCTGATGTTTACTTGCTGCTATGAGTATTAAGACAGAAAAAGCCACGCCAAAATAAGTTTAGGAAGCCCACTAAGAATCATAATAAAAGCATTTAAAATAAATACCATACACAGTTGAGGAAACGTTGGTTTAAGTACCTGATATGAAGTGGTCGCTGCATAAGCGAAAACCTTTACTCTCGGGATCCCACAGTTTCATTTTCGCCTGGTCACTAGCGCGTTTTATTACAATGATCCAATGTTTGCGGCGCTCCGGATCTTGGGGAATCCTGTAGAAGGCTCATTCCTTATGTCGTCCGTGTCTGTTCTGCATCCTGGGGCACAACAGGAATCTACCATATTTCCCGTTTGATTGAGTTTTCTGACAATAACAAATAGTCCAGCTGCCGGCTTCTGCATGCCAATATGGCGCCGTTTCGATTTGAACTGTTGCATGCCGGGAAAAGTGACGTCAACTCCCGGAGCTCTATGGTTACACTTCAACACTCAATGTTGCCTCTATGTATTTCATTTTCGTTTCATCTCGTTCCCACCTCTTGTGGCCACTAGCTGTTGTTTCATAAAAAGTAGTAAACTTTTTTCTAAAGTAGACCCACGTCTTTTGATTCTTGAGCTTCATACTTCTGCTAATTATTATTTTTTCCCTGAGCAGAGTCAGAAAAGTTTGCCTTAAATGACGTCACGTCCAATTTCCAGCAAGAGGCACTGTTTTTGGACCAATGAGCTAGGTGTCATGTTCTGGGGGATACGTCCAACCCAAGACATGCAGAATCACAACAACTCACAGAATGACGGTAAAAATATAGTTATTGTAAAACGGGAACAGAAAACGCACTGGTAAGTCCAGTGGGGATCGAGAAATGGGAGCACAGCATCTGGGGGGGGGGGGGGGGGGGGGGGGAGCAAATGCATGTGAGTCCAGGGAGGTAAGCCTATTGTTTCCTCTGGTGTTCACGAGTGTGTGTGTGGGTGTGTGTGTGTGTGTGCATGGACGAGTGCGCGGGTGATTGTATGTCCACTTTGAAAGTTGGGTGCGGGAGGGGAACTGTAATTTTTAATTGTTTTATACTTGGGGAGGGGGGCTAGGATGGGAATGTGGGATCTATGGGGCCATTTTAATCTGTAAAGCACTTTGAGTTGCATTTTTTGTATGAAAAGTGCTATATAAATAAAGTTGATTTGATTTGATTAACTCTGTGGGCGCAGAGAAAAGACTTACTGGGAGTTGGGAAAGCGCAGGGATGAGGGAGGGCAGGTTGAGAGCCGGGTGTATCCAAGTGAGGGGTCCAGGAGAGGGAGCGAGCGGAGAGCAGGAAAGTGGGTCGGTTAGGAGGAGTGGAGAACGGTTCAGAACTGCTTCCAGAAGTCCTATGGGGCACGGGTGAGTAATACTGAGGGGATCGCTGAATCCAGAGACGTTCCAAAAACCTGGAGGCAGGTGATTACAAAAATCCAAAAGTTCAAAGTCCAAGAAACATGAGAGCACAAAATCCAAGTAACACCAGGAGGCTGGAACTACCAAGCAGTAGTAATCATCCGGCGTTGAGGTGTGTTCTCCATCCTCCTTAAGTAGCCGGGCCCGCTGATTGCCAACCAGGTGCAGCTGGGAACCTGCCTCTCCTACAACACACAACTCAAAGGTGGAATATTGATAGGAGTGCTCACCCCGGCTCATGACACTGGGAGCCTAGTTAGAACAGTAATAGCACCTTTTTTTCGATTATCTTTTTGAAATCAAAATACAAATTTGAGACCTGTTACAAGGGATTCAACATGTGTTTAAAGTGGAAGATGCTTAAAGAGCAAGTAACGTCTAAATTAACTTTTTTTTGCTGATGAACTGTATAAATGAGTGTCCAATAGTGTTTTAAATGTGTGTATTCATTATTTTAGCATTTTGGTGAATTTTCTTTAAAAATTTAAATTTCTGCCTAAATACCACTGTATTGCGCCACCTTCAGCTTAAAACATAGAATTTGAGTCTTTTTGAATAAATTTTAGCCAATGGCTAAAGAGTAAGATACTGCGTAAACCAGTAGAGTACTACGTAGCAGCTCTGTGTCAAAGTTATAAAGCATCGAGAGTCTCGGCCACGCCTTATGGCGAGTTAGGAGTTGGATTTGCAAGCGAGTGTAGGAGGTTAGCCGTAGTTCAGCATTAGCATATAGCATTAGCATATCCTAGTCTTTAGCATAGCTTTTAGTGTTATACATACTTATTTAGTGTTAGTGTGCCTGGTGCTGTAGTTTGCAACCAGCATTTTACCGCGATTCTGCACGTTTCCGTTTGAAGAGGGAGGCCGTGCCCACCCGTGGCTCTTCCGCGATTTAGATGCAGCCCACCGACTCTGCTCCCCCACCACGGCGGGCTCCAGTCTGAGGTGAGTAAGCTAAATAAAGGTTTTACATCTTCTAAAGACAATTTCCTACCTAAATGCAAAGTTTGAGAGACGTGGTTCACTCCATTTAGCTAATATCAGCCTGCACTGCCTTCGGGCTGATTTGTCAAGTTCACAAAATGTGGAACGGGATGTAAGGTTGGAATCAGCGGCGAATCGGAACATTTCTCGAAGCCCTGGCCGACGATACGGTCCACATGACTATTACTGTCAGGCTCGGAGAAAATTCGGGTTGTTTTTGTGTCAGTCAGTAATTCTGCAACAGTGGCTCTAACTAACGCAGCACTAGTTGACAGACAGCATTACAGCGTGAAATCCAACTTTACACCACAGCGTGACCCGGTTCTGTAAGGAATTCTGTTCAGGAGGTCACATTTCAGGCTCTCTTCACATCATATGTGACTGACTTTTACGTTATAATAACATCACACACTAGGAATGTTATAAAGCGCCTATATGGGACAGTTTCTTTTGTATATTATCTGACTTTATAAACAACAATGTGCTTCTATTTTTTTTTTTCAGGCTAAATCTACCCAAGACGCTGGCTGTCAGACTGATTTAGCTGCAAGAATGCACTTGTCCAGCTTGACGTGAAGCGTTACCCGTAGCAAAGGTGAATTATTTTTAATAATCTTCTATGTAAACATTTTATTATTACCTTCTAGTTTTAATTTGTTTTACAGATTGTTTCACGTGATTTTATGCTCTTTTAAACATTTATAAATGTGCTCCTTCTTTGTTTTTTATAGAGCTCCCAGCCTCAGTGTGTCTTGTGACACAGGGACCATGACGGAAATTCATCTTCCAGAAGGTCCCAGAGCATCCACACCCCTGAAAAGACCAAGATGTGAGGTGTCTGCTGTTGATTCCAGCTTCCACCTCAGTGACAGTGCAAGCTCAGTGAACTGTTAGAGGTAAAAAAAAATTAAAACATTTCTGAATTTTTAAGATATTAACAATTAAATGAGAATGTGATTACATCATGACATCATGAAGGAGGCTACTGATTCTGGCCCTGTGACACTTGGTGGTGACGTGTGAGCTGATTCACCTGGTAAATAACTTTTACATTAAATATTTTGTTCTTTGCTATTAAAAGTAAATTAACTAATAACCTGCATTATTGCAGGACACTCAGCAAAATATGGACTCTACACCATGAGGAAGGCACACGTTAATAACTCTATAAGAGCACATAAGGTGAGCAACACCACATATTATTTTTATTACTGTACACTTTCCTGGATTTGTTTTCTTTCTGCATGATTTGTTTTCTTTCTGCATCTCATCATTAGCCTGGCTGATCACCTGATAACTCCAGTCATCTGGTTATGACAGCATGAGGATGTCCTCACACACCTGTCATCTGGTTATGACAGCATGAGGATGTCTTCACACACCTGTAACCTATCAGCTCATCTGGCAGAATAGAGAGAGAAGAGACAACACCACATCTCCTGTTCCTGGAAAGCCTTCAGCCATCCTTCGATGACTGAGAACCTCCATCAGCTCTGTCTCCTGTCTGCCTACAATTATTATAATACATATTGTGTTTGACAAGTTTTTGTGCTGCCAAATATCATTTTGATTCCAGTTTTGATATTTTAATGGATATTTATAAATAACATTAATTGAATTATCACATTGCATGTTTAACTAGCTCTATTGTGATGAATTAAACTAGCACCTCACTGTTAAAAGCTCGTTTTAATTTCAAGCATGTTTAAGTATTTATGGACATGAACAAAAACAGGAAATATATAAATTGAGATTTATTTAATTAATATAACAAATAAGGGTGAAAGAGTCATTGAAAGGCACATTCTTCTGGAAGCTCCTGATCGTGACGACACCAGCAGGAGACCAGCTGCAGACACCAGAGGATCACCTGCAACCAAGAGCAGCTAGTATCAGTAAATAAATAATGAAATCAGGGCAGTTTTAGTGGGCTGAACACATTACAGAATAATTTTCTCATGGGATATTTTCATAACTTTATGCAGCAGACTGTAGCTTGAGCCCAGATCTCCTGGAGAGCTATCCAGCACGTTTCAGTGGATTTTCCTGCTTTAACAGGTTAGATAAGCTGTTAAGCAGCTCAGCTGTTTGTTGCTGATTAAAACCAGGTGTGTTGATGCAGATACATCTCTAAAACATGCTGAATACTAGCTCTCGGGCCGTGGAGCAAAACCCTGCAGCTAATCTGATGCTATGGCTAACGGCTACTTACCATTCAGAGATGGTTCTGTTGGGTCGGTTCCGGTAATTTCAGGCAACTCACAAGCTCAAAACAATAAGGCTCATGTCCTCTTGTCTCCTCCAAATAGACTTGGTCCCTTTCTTCTCGAGTGTCTGGGTAAGGAGGGGGAGAAACGTCCTCCACTTCTAATGACTGCTCAGGGTGAAGGGAGCTAGCATCGTCTAGTTAGCCGTCGTCTTTGTCACTGCCGCGGCTCCGCCCTCTCGGTCCTCCAGGCAACGCCTACTAATGTTGCATTTTTTAAAATTGATACGTGGGTGGAAAAGGACTCCGAGGCTCAGTTGACCCACTCTTTAAGGAAACCACAGGAATCTAAAACAGGACAAAACAACAAAGACAAGCCAAGGAAATGTTTTCAGTAATAGGCTAGAGCAACACATCTTGAAACTTTGATCTTGAAGAAGAAGAAGAAGAAGAAGAAGAAGAAGATATTTTCTATAGCGCCTCAAGATAAAAGTGACGAGGTGCTTCACGAAAACTAAAAAATGTTATTCGAAATAATTTTGAAAATTATTAAAATATTTTTACATTGAGCAAAAATAGACAATTGTGGAGAGAGAGAGAGAGAGAGAGAGAGAGAGAGAGAGAGAGAGAGAGAGAGAGAGAGAGAGAGAGAGAGAGAGAGAGAGAGAGAGAGAGAGAGAGAGAGAGAGAGAGAAAAATCGTTGGATCCTAAGGAAGGTGGAATAGGTGGGGAGAGCAGAACAAGGAGAGAGTGATGAAGGTCACGCCAAAGCCAGCCTGAAGAGGTGAGTTTTCAACTGATTTTTAAAGGAGACCCCTGAGTCCACTGATCTCAGGCTCAGGGGCAGAGAGTTCCAGAGTCTGGGGGTTCACAGCAGCAAATGATCTGTCACCTTTGGTCTTTAGCCTGGTGCACTGCACTACCAGTAGGCTTTGGTCACTACTTGTGCAATGCCTTGCCTGCCTCTCTGTGAAAACAAATTATATGTTAGAAAAATTATGTAATAATTTGACATTAAAAAGCAAGTTAATGTTTTATTAGCCTCAGAAGTGTTTCCTATATAGCTTTGTCTTTGAGTGATTTTAAAGATAGCTAACCTATTTGGGCTGTGATGGACTGGCTTGCCTGGATTGCCCATTGACCGCTAGAGATAGGCGCTGGTTTCCCCCATGGATCACAACATGCCCTGTTGGTTAACAGTTGTACATCACTTTGGATAAAAGCATCTGCCAAATACACAAACATAAACATCCTGTTGCTGAACCTAGGCCTGACCAACTGCAGCAACCCCAGATTATAGCACTGCCCCAACAGGCTTGTACAGTAGGCACTAGGCATGATGGGTGCATCACTTCATCTGCCTCTCTTCTTACCCTGATGCACCCATCACTCTGGAACAGGGTCCATCTGGACTCATCACTAATAATACATTGGATAGTTCTTAACCCAATTTCAACCATTTCTACTATCTCCTTAGATGTGTTCTCTGCTTGATGCATGCCAACAATCTGACCCTTTTCAAACAAACTAATTTCCATAACCACCAGATGTGTCTTTCCACGTGGTTGTTTAATGAGAAGCAACTGATTGCACCAGATGGGGTTAAATAACTTGCTGTTGCCCATGCAGTAATTATCCATGCTTGTACCTATTTGCTTAGTTACATCCAGGTGGAGATTATTTCATGGGCTGGGCAGTGTAGATCAGGAAGCGGCCCCAAACCAGTTTGTGTTTCCAGATAATAATCCTTTATCTTTAAGATCTTGTTTGTTATTGAACAAAATTAAACTCTTTACACTGGTAATAACATTGCTGCTCAGAAGCGTCAAAATGTCCAACTGATGTGACTTATCAAGTAAATAGAAGTAATATGTTAGCCCCAATCAGCAAACATTTTGTTTACCAAGTACCCTTACCTTTTCGAAGTAAAAGTAAATTGATATTACTGTGCTAACAAGCATCTCTCATGGTAAGTATCCAGAAGCTGCAGAAATGTTTAGAATATGTATGTTTTTTTAACAACAAATACATATATACATAAAATGGTAAAGCTTTATATGTACAAAACAAGTATAGTTCTACTTGTGTGATGTAGAAGTGAATTCCTGTTGAATAGTCTCAGAAAATGGTTTTCAGGGACTTTATTTGGGAATTTAATCAAACACATTGAGAAAATACTTTGGCATGTGGATGTCTTTTTCAATTTTGTCTGGGTCGTTATGACCAACAAAGTACATTTTGACAAACTGGCAAAACACAAAAATGCTCCATTCTTCCAAATGATCTCAAGAAATCCTTCAGTTTCAGAAATTCTGACATGCTGCTGGCAAACAAAAATAATCACTTTAAAGAGAAACGTGAGAAGGGTTGGTCACCCGCACTTCCTGTTGGAAAATTGCAACTGAAGGAGGCATTGCCTGGCAGATAGAGAGAACAGCACTGAGGCAGTGACTGACAGCACCATCATGACCCCTCAACCCCTTCCCCTCCCTCCAAATGCATTATTGCTTAGTCAGAGAAATAAGCCGTTATCAAGCGCATTTGTGCACATCACACACACACACACACTCACTCACTCACTCACACACACACACACACACACACACAAACACACACACACACACACACACAGAGCGAGACAAGGACACACTGCTTAGTCAGATGAGTGAACAGAGAAACTGCAGTAGGCTGGAGTGTGTTTTTCTCTCCCTTTTGGCCACTGGAAGAAAGAGACAAGGACATTTTTCTAAGGAGGTGAGCGGCTCTGAGTCGTATTGATTCACACCTGCTCGTGAGCATCCGAGCTAGCTGGAGGCACGTCCGAGACTCTTCTGCGCTACTGTGCAGTGCAGCCACATAGTATGGTACCAGCTATATCACTTGATACCTCTTAGCCAACAGCAATGGCAAATTAAAAACCAATGTAGAGCAGAGTCTCAACCTGAAAAGGGCACAGTAATGATGGTTTTAAGCTGATAACTTAAATAAGATACACTAAAAAACCCAAATATTGTTCTATTGTTCAAGTGTCTTGCCCAAGGACACAACAGTGACAGACTGAGCGGGACTCGAACCTGCAACCTTCCGATTACAGGGCTAAAATGGGAGGTGGCCACCACCGCCATTTTGACTGTGTCACAGGTTCCATCAAGCCCAGACAATTCCACAAAATGGAAAAGAGGAGGAGCTGAGGGTGGGGCTGTAAGGCTGGGATCAAATGACGACACCCGGTCAACTAGCTACAAGCTAACCTGAAGCTAACCCTAACTAACCCAAAGCTAACGCGGAGGTGGGAGCTAAGCTAACGGATGTAGCTACCTAGCTTCAACCAGAGCTAACTCTGTGGAACACCCATCAACCTGAAGCTCACACGAAGTTTAGGTGGAGGTTTGCAGCGCTTTTTCATGAAAAGTACCTTTCTGTGACTAAAAAAGTATTAAATTGGTAAGTTTATAATTTATTTCCGTAATGAAAATATATTTTGCTTTGAACAAGTTTTCAATATTTTTAATGTACCGTATTTTCCGGACTATAAGTCGCTCCGGAGTCGTACCAGCCATAAAATGTATAATGAAGAAGAAAAAAACATATAAGTCGTATTTTGGGGGGACATTTTATTATTTTTCTTACAAAATCTGAGACCAAACGTTTCACATTGCAAGACAAGCACCGGTAACAATAACAGAATAAACAATGCGGGCGCAGCAGCACGCCACGGTCTCCAGCAGAGGATGGCGGTGTTTGAAACCCTCCCAGTGGGACAGGGGAACTCATTCTTGGGTCGGAGTCGGCCCGCAGCAGCACGGTGTAGCCTACATATTTTGTTATGTAAGTCACTCCGGAGTATAAGTAGAAGGACCGGCCAGACTATGTAAAAAAGTGTGATTTATAGTCCGGAAAATATGGTAGTTATTAGTATTTGAGATAAATTAGCAGGCTGAATACATTTCATATTTTTCTAAAACTTATTACTTTTTAATTGTTATTTTCACATGACTGTTATCAGGCTCTCTTGTTCTGGTTCTCATGATAATAATTCCGTTTCTTCCAGTACTTCATCTGTATAATGTCTCTTTACTTTTGGTGAATTGTACTGAGTCCAGAATAAAGTCTACTTGGCTGTACAAGATACAAACAAACGTGGGTTTAGAGGTGGCGAGCCCATGAAGAGGTGGAGGAGAATGAGAGACAAATTTGTCTGTTAAAAAGTCTTATGTACAAAAAACACAATATAAACACAATATTTTGGACCGATACATGACAGGATACCACAGAACAGCTCTACGCCCTCTGC